TTTAGCTCCGGGCTAATATAGTATTAATTTGAACCCTAGTGTACATAGGGCTTTGTTTCCCAGACTCTTCAATTTTTGTTTGGTTTTTCTTCATTAAAAGAACCTTTCTTCTTGATTTTTTTTTAAAAAATCTATTTCTGGATCGCTTGGCCCATAGGACTAAAATATATAACTGGCAAGCCAAAAGGAACAGTGAAGGACAAGAGCCAAAGTGTACAGGCTCTCAAAAAGGCCTGGCTTTAGTGGGAATGTTACCTGTTGACTGAACTGAGTTTCCAAAGGAACTGGGAAGAAAGAGATCATCCTTAAGCTAGAAAGCTTCCTTGCCAGATTTCAAATGCCTTGGGATCCACTTTTGAGCCATGACCAGTGTATGTTTCTTTTTAGCATGTTACAGATGGAAGTACACTGTCTTCTCTTTTTTTACTTCTAACTGCAACCTGAAATCTACATCTGAATGGACAGCGTGGACATTCAGCTTTCCATGCTTCACAGAGTCCTTTTAATGAACACTTCTTTTAACCTACCTAATAATGTGGTCATTGTGCTTCTTTTTTTTTATGAAATAGGAATTTCTTGTGTTGAACTTTGTAGTGACCTTTAATGATATCCATAGCAGAAGGGGAAAATACATTTCTTTGATACACTTTGTATACACAACCAGCCAGTAAGGACACACTAAGGACTGTAGTGCAGTTGCTTTATGGATGCCAGGACCCATTTCTTACAACAATTCATTTAGCATAAAATAAGCATACGAAGGTTTTCTATTTATCTATGCTGATTCAACTTAAAAACAGTCTTTCCAACACATTGTGCCATTTGTTTTCTGGAGTTGTATGGATTAAGATAGTAGAGAGTTATTTTAATCCAAAACAGGATTTAATCATACTGGGGAAGGAAAATTGAGTTCCTGTTTCTGCTAAGCTAATTAAAAAATATTTGCACAGCAAAGCCAATATTTTCTGGAAGTGGCGGAGTACAGATTTGCCAGCATAATGCTCTCAATAAGAGAAGTTTAATACTAATTATTATAACATGTCCAATCATTTATCACTCCCTAACGTCTTTTCATAGCATGCACACATCTACTGTGCTTGAAAGAGTTTGTGTTCTCTTTTGGAAGAGTGCATAGCTTTTACTCCTCCTCAAATGCGGAGTGGCATGTGGACTTAAGATCTGAAAACTTCTATTTCCAAGAGAATCTAAGCCATATCTTAGAATTGGTTTTATTTTTTATCTTTTTCTTTTCCCTCCCCATTTTCAAAATATTAAGTGGGTGTTACACCAAATCAGATGTATTTCTGTGAGCTCAAACATTTCCAAACTCAGTGGAGTCTGTCGGTGAAGTTGTGTTATCTATGCCAGAGAAACATATGCAACCAGCCAGTAAAGATGGAGGGAAGACTATATACTGTAGAATCCACACTACTGTTCCATTTGAGTTTTGCAACAGAACATGAACATGTGTGATTTTTATGAATGGAAATGGCACTTAACACAAAGATTGTGCTAATAAAGAAGCACAAGAGTAGAAGCACATCTTTCTGTTTGTGGATCTGGCAATATAAATGCCAAGGCCTAAATGGTGGGGCAGTATATTTTTAAAAATACATTGTTTAAAACAGGGATGGAAAAAATGTCTTGCTCCTAGGGCACACTGAAAGCTTTCAATCATCAGTAGATGAAAGACAGATTAGATTCCCCCCCTACGAATTTTGATGCATGCAAGGACTAAAACTGGACGAGCCAAACATTATTTGCATATAAAACCCAGGCCATCATATTCTCTTACACATTGGCTCCTCTCCCCACAATAACTTCTATTGGTTGAGTATGAAGGTCTGAGAAGGCATTCTGAGCATGTTCAGCTCATAATGCCTTCTCAAATGTTCAGGACACATTTGGAAATTGTGCAGCTATTAATTCTGCTTGTGCATGTGCTCCTTTAAGAGTACCTATGTGACAAATCACTTCACTTTTCTTCAATTGAAAGCTAAGGTAAATGGCCAAAGCAGCGCAATTACAGCATGGGTTAGATCCATAAGATTTCAGATCATTAAACATGGTGTAATCATGGACATTGGTGTAATTGATTGAAGAACCAAATCAGTGCAACCCATTTTCATTTATTTAATGTGCAAATTTCAGCCCATCTATAACATTTTATTGTCATATTGTCAGCAAGCACTGACTTCTCATCTGTGCAAGTGTCAAAATAGCTTTGACATAAGAACCCAATCAGTGCACAACTGCTATATGAAACTATTGCCTTCCTTTTGGATTTTCCAATGCAATGCAAGACAGCTGAATTCAGGCATTCTGGGAAGTATTGTGCTTACAATAACCATTCAGTTGTGAAAACCATTAAACAGTGAATCCTCTGCAACGCATACACACACACTACTTAAAGCAAGAAGAAAGTTGGGAATGCATGAACTTAAAAAAAATAAAATTATTGCAAATAATGTATTTTTCAACTGAAAGATTTTTAAAATTTTGTCATTCTTTTTCTCTACCACCTCAAATAACAGTTCTGCCATCTGGCTCAGTTTCCATAATTGTGTTTTCCTTCTGGTCTGAGAAGACCTCTTCCCCCATTTCCCCCCCTAAACTTCTTTTCATAATGGCATTTCTGCAGCTGCTTAATTTCATTGGCAGGAGTAGCAATGATTGAGTGCTGCTGTTCCTCTTTCTACTTCTGTTGAAACAACTTTACAAAATGAACAACTGTCTAAATTATTTGCTTTGGCAAAAAGGTGGATTGACTGGAAAGTTTGGTAGTAGGAGGATTGCTGGCACTGAAGTTAGCAGGCCTATTATGTCATAAGATGAAGGAGTGATAACTTGGAGAAAAAAATATTTATTTTTTAACAAAAATACATTTGTGTCTCTTAGGTTACAAAATAAAAGGGCATGTCATTCACATTACCAGGCTATATACAGTTGTGGGTCAGGGCTTGATGCCATTCCTAAAGGATTTTTATTGGGTACTGGGGAAATGTAGAGAAAAATCAGGCAAAGATATAGAGAACAGTATGGAAATCAACCAAGAGCCATAGAAGCAGAAAGACTGTATTATTGTATCCAGAGGTGAATAATAACGGATAAATTATTTTGGGATTGGTAGGGTTAGCAGAAGGGAATTAACAAAAGAGAATGTAGTAAGCCTTTCAAACTACAGAACTACAGAGCATTGTAAAGAAAAAGGATCCCTAACCCCAGTGTTGACAGAACCTGCCAGTGGGTGATTTCATCATAAAAGCCATTGAAGATCTAATAGAATTTGTAAGATGGGTTTTCTTTCTTAGCTTACATCGGAGGATCACTAAACACATCATTTGTGTAGACTCAGTGCCAGGCAGAGGTCAACATTCAAACTGTTAAAGATTTAAAGGTATATATTATCTATGAGTAATCACCCATTTAATAGATTTCTTTAAAAAAAAAAACAGTGCTGCTAAATTACTCGTTGGGTAAGTAGTCATGTAAACTGTGCCTTAATTGAGGTTTCACTTTTAAGTTTTGTTTGAATAACCATTGATTTATAATAACAAGAGACCCATTTAATATTAAAAAAATTCTGAAAACTGAAGCCTGTTATTCCCTATCCAAACTCTGACAGCCTTCATTCTGTCATAGGTTTGCTCTGCCTCTCAAAGAGACAAAACAATATGGCTGTTGATGATTGTTGGTGTGAGGCATGGAGGTTAGATTTTGGATGTGAGATTTAGATATGGGCTATGATTGAATTTTAAAGATCTCATAATGGCTTTGAAGGTTTTTATATGGAAAGGAAAAAGTTTGAAGAAAATTCAGACACCTCCAACCATGCTTCTTCATTGGGATTTAAAAGCAATTCCAGAGCGGGGAGCTATCCAAGCTGCTAAATTCCTCAATAAGTTCCACTGATGTTGTTGGTGTAGTTGTGTTTTTGTAGGTTCTATCCATCCCAGAAAGAAGAAAGAGTCATGTTCACCAGTCTGCATTATTGTACACCAGTCTGCCTTGTCACTTCTTCCCAGTAAGATCAACCAAGACAGCTAAGAGCTTATCATAAAGAAATAGCTTAGTATTATGTCTGAAAGGACAGTTCTCAGTTGTCAGTTTTCTATCAAGCCACTATGATCTCTTGTTTATATGGAACAATGAACTAAGAATTAGTTTTGGGGCTTTCCTTGCCAGACAGTTCCTGGTTTGTCCAGTTGCTCACCCACTAGAAGAACAAACAGGAATCATTGGAAAGTATGTGTGATAAGTTGGGATTCTCTCACATTCTGTTTCATCATTTTGTATGATTTTAGCCGAAATTAACAAAACTGCTAAATCCTCATGATTGTCAAGATTTCTTCCAGTCAAATAGAAGTCCATTCTTCATGGTCTCTCCACTTTTTGCCTAGTGTATAAAATATGTTCTGGATTATTTATGCGTTCTGCTAAGTACGGTAAGTCCCAGAGCTGTTCCAAAGCAGTCTAGAGGAATGCAAATTTGTCCATTTGTTTATCCTTAGCATTCAACTTCGTGAAGTATAAACTTTTTTCTGGAAGCTTTTCTTAATATTTGTATTGGTATTTTCTGCATAGGGGAAATGCACACTATAAATTCAGGCTTTTGTGTAGGGTTTTACCCAATGTGTAGACATCTAAGGAATATGTTTAAGTTGCCAGTAGATCATAAAATTTAGCAAAGTACAGAGTTTGCTGAACAGGTACATTCCATGCTATGGTCAGTTCCAAGATTGAGGACATAATAAATTAACTAACATACAGTAACAATTTGGATGGAACAAATTTCTCATTTATCCTTATTAATATGAAGCATTTCTGATGTTTAAATTTCAAACGTGTCTCTGAGATGGAAACAAAATACAAAATGTACAGTCTCCATGAAATTGAACACTTCCGTTAACAAATAATAGTATTTTTTTTTCTTAATATACATTTGCTTTAGTATTCTTTTCCTTTTAAATGCCAGGAATTCTTCTTCCTTTCTTTCACAGTATGCCAAAGCACTGAAGCATTTTGGAGAGAGTGAGGGAAGGATGCAGCCAGATGAATTTTTTGGCATCTTTGACACCTTCCTGCAATCATTTACAGAAGCTAAGCAAGATCTGGAGAATATGAGGAAGAAGAAAGAAGAAGAGGAGCGCAGGGCACGCATGGAAGTCATGGTGAGGACTCAAAAGTTAGATTTTAAAAAAATTCTCCTCCCCCCCCCCCGGTCTTGGGAAGTTAAGGGCAGTGTGAATAAAGGACATATTTTCTTAGAGTGTAATTTTGTACATGCCAGTTCACAGACTGGCTTGCATCATTGTTTCTCTTGAGTACTTCTTAAATCGAAAATAACCTAATAGTTTTGAAGGCTAAAGGAGCTAAAGAATTTCTTGCCAGCCTGCAGGGGAACAGATAGCAAAGCCTTCTACTCAGAAAGGAGAGGACTTTGTTCCCAGTTCTGTGCTGGAATAAGTGATGGGGATGTTATAGGTGAGAAGCTGAGGAGAAATTGTAGATGACCAGAATGCAATGATAGTGATCTGCCATAGTATTATTGATAGCACTTGAATCAGTGGGATTTTACAGCTGCTGAAATCAATAAAATCAAAATAACACTCTTAATATCCACATTAGTATAAGGAGCAATTCTCTTTCTCATTCCTCCTAAATGTTCAATTCCATGGAGAATAGCCAAGAACTGAGGCATCTTTTTTCTTCACTGAAAGCCATCCTTATGACTTTATCCTAATTAGATTTTTACCTTAGTCTTTCTTCAAGGAGACACCAATTTCTCTCTTTTTTCACACTATTGCTTTATCTTCCCAGCATCCTACCCATGAGATAAATTAGGGGGAGTGTGGGGGAAAAGTCCAGTTCAGTATGAAAGGGGATACAAATCTAGATACTCTTGGGTTCAGTTTGGCAGCCTAATCACATCATCTCACAGGATCTTAGAAGTAGTTTCCAGAATATTTCATAAACTGTTTATGTTCAGTCTAGAGTTGTCTTGCTGGCTTTAATGAAACAATTGTTGATACAGATGGTTTGCAAGCTAAGTCACTTTTATCCAAGGACTTTTTCCATTCTGTTGTTTTGCATATTTTCATTCCAGGCCCATCATTTACAGATGCCCCATGTTCTAAATGTAATGTTAAGAATCCAATGTTACTTACACTTATTTGCAAAACCCACAGGGTGGCTAACAAACAGAAAAAGCAGTTAAAAGTTCAGTTTAGGACTATAAACCCCAGGGAGCAAGTCTGTCTTATTCCTGACCTTTGTAAGTCACTCTGGGAGGTTTTTTTTTTAGTGGAATAACATGTTAAAAATGCTTTACTTAAATAAATAAATAACAGAATGTTAAAAAACAGCAAAGGAAGGCAAAGAAAAAGGCAAACTCCATAAAATACAAACCAAGGAAACAAATAACATAAGATAGCTATCATTTTTAGATGTATTTGGCTAGCTACTGTTACAAATAGTACTGTTACAAAAACAGTTACTTTTTGAGAATGATCCCAAAAAGTTATATTTAGCATCTTATACAGATAGTCCTTGATTTACAACCATTTATTTGGTGACTGTTTGAAATTACAACAGTAGTAAAAATAGTGACTTATGACCATTTCCCCCAGTTATTACTGTTAAAGTAATCCCTATGGTCACATAATTAAAATTTGGATCCTTGGCAACTTATTATTTATAATCCTTGCAGTGTCCTGGGGTCATGTAATCACCTTTTGCAACCTTCTGAAAAGCAAACTCTATGGGGAAGCCAGATGCACTTAACAACCAAGTTACTAACTTAACAACTGCAGTGATTCACTTAACAACTGTGGCAAAAAAGGTCATAAAATGCAACAAAACTCACTTAACAACAGAAATCAAAGACTACAGTATTGTTGAAGTTTTGAATTATCCCAATGAATAGCTGAATCTGGTTTGCACAAGCAATTACTTGCGGCTTTGCTCCGCATTAGGAAGGCTTCTCACTGGGTGGTCGAATGCATCAAGAAAGACACCAGGCAGGTTCTATCTCGGGTGAGTTGCCCCGATCACGAGCTCAGGGAAGCTCTTTTATTAAAAACACATAGTGATACGTCATAAGCGGTGAATTCTATCCAATCATTATGTTACACGAGCAGAAATATTAGTGGACACATAGCAGCATCCAATTACAGTTACATGGTCAGTTTAAAAGGTACAAAGTAGCAAATCAGCGCCTGCAGTCCAGTTATTAGCCCATGATGACGTGTTGTTGATTGATGTTCTTTGTTCCTGGTACACCCTTTCAGCCTACGTGAGGCCTTGAGGCCTTGAGGCCTGGTATGTACCGAAACTATTGAAGCTGATTTATTACTGCAATTACTTATGAATGTCTTTTTAAACTTTCTAATTAGTTTTGTTCCTTGTCTTTATCAGTGCATTTTCCAGCCAGCCACAATAATAAATCTGTTAAATCTGTGTCTTAACAGCTTAAAGAACAGAGAGAGAAAGAGCGACGTCAGAAGAAAGCAAAGGCTGGTAGTATCTCAGAGGAAGGAGGAGGAGAGTTTGATGATCTTGTGTCAGCACTGAGATCAGGTGAAGTTTTTGACAAAGACTTATCCAAGCTCAAGCGCAACCGTAAGCGTTCAGGGAACCAAAATCTGGAGACAAGTCGGGAACGAGCAATAACAAAGCTCAATTATTAAATACGGATGATGTACAGATGACACAAAATGCAAAACCGTCATGAACGACTGCTGCAACCAAGATGGTGAGATTGTCTAAAACCTTTCTGCAGGAAGCGCATCCTAGTGCCAATGGCTTTTTTCCCCCCAGGATAAACTTATTCTGCTGACTTGCTCTCTTCCATATTTACATAATCTGGAATGATTGTAAAAGTGCCTCTCTAGTGCCCAAAGGATTTGTCATCAAACCTTCCTTTTGATTGATCAAATTGCTTCTCGCTTCCACTACAATTTCACTTGGACCCTTTTGATGGGACAGAAAGCTCGGGGTTTTTGGGTTTTTTTTGGTTTTTTTTTTGCACCAGTTACTTGGGGTGGGTAGGGGAGGATCATTGTGCCAAAGTTTACACATTTTTTTAAAAAAAAATCTCCAATGCTGAGAAAATGCAAGACACTCTCAGGATGGTTCTGAATTTTCCTGCCATTCTTGGTTTGGCCTGCCTTCAAAAGTGAATTAGTGGTATTATAGTGTTGTGGTTCTCTTCCTCCACTGGATATCCCAAAGGCCATTGACTTTGTAAAACATGACATTGGACTCAAGGACTGGTATTTACTGGTGCATGCCAAGCAAGTGATGTTGCGTCAGAGGAAGTAGTTAGAGCTGTTCTGTTTCTGAGATGCATAAAATGTTTAGGAAACTCACTCCCCCCCACCCCAACTAATCACTTGAGTATTTGGAAGCGTGCTAAGTCTTTATACTAAGTTGTGAGAAAATAGGAGGAACCATACTCTTTAAGAGTGATCATCATTAACCTGAACCTGATCAGTTATCATTGCTAAGCAATGTGGTAGGAAACGGTTTGGGGCATAGCAGTATTTCCATTTGTAAAACTGCATTATTTTGATAGCACAGTAACATGAATTATTTGAACTAATAAGAGGTAGAAACTAAAAAAAACAAACACAAATGGTTTGTCCGATAGTTGAAAGGGAGAATCCGGTCATTTATTGGAAGCAGTGACTCAACTGGGATGGACATTTTTCATTCTAACAAGACTGGCCTTTTCAGAAACCGCAACCCTTCCAAAAACATTTTCACAGTATTATGAAATTGTAAGGTGACTGGAACATTCAAGGACTTTTCCATCACAATGGAAGTGACAAAGAAAGAATTAAGATATATGGCAGACCCAAAAGGGATTATCCAGTATGTTTGAAAACAACTATTGCAAGTGAGAATAAACAAGCAGTTTATGATGTAATAAGAAATTGTCTGTAGAACAGCCAAACAGAAACCTGCATTTGTAGAGAGAACCAAATAATACTTCCCTGTTTCATTGTTCTTACATGGTTGTACATTAATAGAACTATGCAGTATAGGTTTTTAATGTTATGAATTGAGTAGTTATTCATCAGTTCTCAACTGGATCTCAGGAAAAAATAAGATGGTGCAAGCTTGAGTGTGAGCAATATGGAGGCAAAGTTTAATATGCCTGAAAAAGCTTTTCTGCAAGGGCAAAACCCATAGGATTCCAGGGATTATAAAAGACACTCCAGTTCTCATGTTGATTACTAGCTTTTGTTGGTATAAAAAAGTTGGTAGATTCAAGTTTATTTCTGTAAAGTAGAAATTCCTTTCTCCCTCAAGCACAGATTAATAAGCCATATTGCAAGATTCCCCTATCAACATTGGGTTAAATATTAGGAACCCTAAATAGAAGTGCTCAAATCTTCAAAAATAATTGACTTATTTTTGTATGCCCTCGTTTTCAGTGCTCTGGTTCTGAATTTTTCTGTTCATAGCATTCCAGAATACAGGATGTTTTCAATACATGTATGGGAAGATAATTTGCCTTTATATAAAAAAACCCTCTGTCATAGGGCTGTCTGTTTTTTAAAAATATTATTTAGAGCAGTATTTCTTAAAAGTGTTCTGGCCATCCTCTCAAAAATCCACAAAATCAAAATTCTTAATATTAAAATTCCATCAAATTGTGAGAGCTGGCAATGAATGCAAATGTTTCGTATAGTAAATGGTGATAAATATAATCCTTACAAATGAAAGTTCATTTGGAGTCCTCCATAACTTTAAAAAGTGGAAAGGGTCCTTATAGAAAAAAATTTAAGAAACACTGAGTTATAACATGATCCTTCAACACATGTAAACTGACCTATCTGTCTATGAAGATTCTTAGCCATCCAGGTCATAGTTGTCCTAAAGGTGCTTTTTCAAGAGGCAACTGGACTTTCTGCGGGTTGTTTTTTTTTGAAGACACTTCACTTGGATGAGAAGTGAAATGTCTTCAAAGAAAAACCAGAAAATCCAGTTGCCTCTTGAAAAAACACCTTTGGGATGACCCCTGTCTTCCTCTTTCAGAACTGAATGATTCCACCCTAAATATTCTTGAAGATTAACAGGGTTATACTTTTGGGATTCTTCAGGATGAATGACAAGATATTTTAAAGAAAAATGTGAATGTTACATTCAGCTTCTGGCTGTTCCCATTAGTAGAACTGTAGTATTACACTATGTCTCTTGTGTTGTCTTGTCCAAGAAAGACTAAAATGGCATAAATCAAGGCAAGTCCATTTTCCTTGCACCAAATCTCAAGATTTCACCTTCAAAGTAATAAACATAGTATTCACAAATTCCTTATAGAGATTATATACCGCAAATAAGATGCAGTCCTGTTCAAGTTCTTCATCTGTGACTATACTCCTTCCCTTCCTATAAAGTATAATCTGAGCCATCTAATTGTTTCTGTAGTAAGGTAAGTAAATAAGTAACATTGTTACTGCAGTAAGGAATCAGGTTGAAGAGAAGGTAGTTCTAGCTAGAGGTTTCAGGGAGATCTTCTCAGGTGGTCCAGACATCTCTTAATTTAGATGATGGGCAGGTAATCCTGATGTCTGGAAGATACTTAAGTACATTGCATCAGAGTAACTTTAGAAATCGCCTTCCTTTCAGCTAGAGTGACTATCAGCACTAGAGGCCCCTACAAGAACCTGAGGAGGTTGCCAATTATCAATGTGGTACTTAAAGCAGGAAGGGGGAGATTCTGTGTTCAAATAAACATTGAATGTTTTTTCCCCTAGGAGATTGGGCAGTCAAGGAAATTCATATGATAGTTGAAGAGAATCAAAAATTTCATTTTTGTCTCTAGCTCTTCTATATAACACCTGGTTTTTAAAAATTATTATTATTGCCAAAATTTCTGTCACTGGTTCTATAAGATAAAGCACTGGAGTATCTTTTCACCTATCCTATAAAATCTATAGCAATCTTGATAAGAGATTTGTAGGTCTCAGTAGTTTCAATTCTGTTCCTTGCAATAAGTTTTTTTTTTCAGAGCAATACCTAGCAGTTTGGTTTAGTGATAGATTTCCGGCGAATATCTAAAAATAATATTAAATATAATTACACTTACAATAAGATTCATTTCGTTTGTAACCCGGGCTTGCTATATTTTGACTCATTCCTTCGCTTGGGAAATGTCAACTCCCATGAACAGTTGATGGAATTTAGTAGCAACTTCCCATGACCTCTATTTCAGATTGTCATAGATTTAACAACATAGTTGGAGCTGAATTCTATGATCCAAAATAGAAGTTTTCAAAAAAAAAAAAAAATCCCAGTTCAAACCAGGTTTTCTCAGAGGTAACAATGGAATTTATTTACCACCATCACCCCGGCCAAAAGCATAGCATCTCTCTGTGTGAAGATTATTGGCTAGGCTGTTGGCCATGGATTTTCTTTAGCCAAATGAAGCTATTGCTGACATTTGCAAATCACAAGTTACCATTTTGTAGGTGCCTGAGGCTTAGAACAGCCATGGATGTATTGAAATTAAATATCTAAAATAAAAATAGACCAGAATCCAATTATTATTATTTTTACCATAGGTGGTTGGAAGTTCTTCAGCCACACTCTGTGCTTTCCCTTATTTCTTGATATTTGGTAATTTGTTAAAAAAAAAAAAAAAAAAAGCTCCAGAAGGGCTGCATTATTTTGCTGCAAAGTTAGCAAGTGGAGTCTATAGGAGTCTACTCAAAAGGCACAGAAGCACCACTCGCATGCCTTGAATTTGTGCATGCAACTTGAAGCAGAGAAGTCCATTTCGCCATCCAGTTTTCTATCCCTCCCCCAGAAGTCAACTTCTATCCCTTTCTATTCCTCCCCCCCCCCACCCAGAAGTGAACTTTGACTCCTGTATTGATGTAGATAACAGCTGTAACATGTTATGTTCAGTTTATTCTCTCTCAAGAAGGGAACCTGAGAATCTTCGGTCTGAGAGGGAAAAACGCTTACATCAAAACATCCAGAACAAATGAGATAACTCTTGTGGTATCCTCAGCAAAAGTGCTTTTTATTTTATTTTATTTTTTGCTTTCCCACGTTTTGCTAAGTTCTAAGTTCAAGCAATAATATCTCATAGCAGTTTATCTGCCCAATAAGATACAACAGCAATAACTTTCGGCCTAAGAGGCCAAGCTGTGGGTTGCCACAGAACAAGGGAAAGAAACAAAGAGTAACTTTTAACCGTTGTGTTGCCTGACTTAATTGGGGCAGCCCCCAGAACAAAATTAAGCCTTTTTGTGGAGATCCTGTTTCATATAAAAGTCTAGGGAGTTTCTCAGTTATCCAGTTAATGGTTGTCCCAAAGTTGCTTTTCAAAAGGCAGCTGGACTTTCTTTGTTTTTTCCTTGAAGATGTTTTGCTTCTCCTCGAAGAAGTGTCTTCAGTTCTGACTGAATGGCGGGAAATGGAAAGGTTTGTATTCCTAGCAATTTCTTTGGAAAAGCACCTTTGGGACTGTTTCATATAAATTAGATAATTTGCACACAGTGATGCATTTATAGACTCAAAGCCTAATTCTCTTTTTGAGATTTTGTGATAGGTTGATCCTTTTTCCTCCAGTCTCCTGACTATTCATGTTATCCGGCTGTATCCACAGGGAAGTCCTCGACTTAAAACAGTTTGTTTAGTGACCGTTCAAAGTTGCAACTGCACTGAAAAATGCGACTTGTGACCATTTTCACAGTTGCGACAGACATGTGATCAAAATTCAGAAGCTTGGTAACTGGTTCATATTTATGACCGTTGCTGTGCCTTAAGACCATGGGATCCCCTTTTGCAACCTTCTGACAAGCTAAGTCAATAGGGGAGTCAGATCCCCTTAACAACCGGGTTATTAACTTACCAACTGCAGGGATTCACTTAACGAAGGTGGCAAGAAGGGTCGTAAAATGGGGCAAAGCTCACTTAACGAACGAAATTTGGGGCTCAATTGACGTAAGTCAAGGACTACCTCTACCGCAGTCCAAGAGTTAAATGTTTAACACATAAGAAAGGGGGTTAGGGTTTTTCAAAATGCAAACCATGTAAAATACCCGCAATATAGGGAAATAATTACTGGAAGATGCACTTCTAATAGAAGTGGCTCCTTTGGATCCATTGCTGAATAGCAGCGATAGAAGTAATTTACCAGTTCTGGTTAGTAAGCCTACTGTTTGTTAGATCCAACCCTGTTCATCTATTTCAATCCAATGCAGTGGTTTCTTTAGGTGCAACATAGCAATTCATGCAAAGCGTTCCAAGTTCTTTAAGGAAAAATAAAGCAGTTTAAGTCTCCCTCACCCCCCAAATGCTTGTAGCAATGTGACTTAAAGAGGTACTTCTCATTAGTAAGACATTTCCATGTTCTTTGGAAATACGGTCACTAGTGCGTGCATTGGAGGCAGAGAGAAAAAGGGTGGAAGGATTTCATCACGATACTAGATACTAGACTATTGTTTATGGTGGGTTTTTTTTTTTTTTGTTGGTAGCTTTGCTTTTGCTTTCCAGGTGGAAACTCAGAGAGCATTTGTACAGTCCTGTTATATACATGATGTATGCAATCTTGTTTAATATTTTTTTTTAAGTTTTAATTAAAAATATTAGGAATATTTTTAAGGGAAACTGTAAATGCTACACTTCTATTTATTTTGCCATGTTTTAATTTGCTTTGTGTGTGTGTGTGTGTGTGTGTGTGTGTGTGTGTGTGTCTGTACACCATGTTTCAGCCATGACTATTGAGTCTGCACCAGGGCATTATGAGCAAACTGAGTGATGTCTTGGTACTCCATAGACACAGCAGACAAGGGCTGGGCATGTTTGCTTTTATCCTAATACCACAAATGGGCCCTTCATTTCCAGAAAGCTCAGAACGGCTTATCTTCCATGGTATATGACAGAGTTCCCCTCCTTTCTGGTTTTGTGGACCAGTGGTGGGGAAGAAGAGATTCTTCATGAGTGATGGGTGAGTGTGCATGCATGCGCGTGCAACTCCATTTGCACAAGCAGCGGACACGTGCACCTGCTGCTCACCCACTACTCACACTTCTGTGGCTCGATCCTTAACGGCTCAAGGTCCAATAATGGGTTGCGGGCCTGAGGGTCGGGGGTGGGTGGGGCTGGTGTATGAGAACCACAGTGATCAAATGGATTTGCCAATCAAATCCAAAGGGTGAGGTAATGTCAGTCGCGCATAAATGACACATACAACAGGCCAGCGCCTGGGTATTTAACCTCAAAGCCAAATTGGGGAGAAATGAGCAAGATGGCAAAACCGTCCCCTATCATTTTTCTACCTTTTCTGGAAACATCTACAAATATGCAATGTTTGTCTCCGTCCTCTCAGCCATGTTCTGGGCAAGAATGTAAGACTTGATCAAAGACTTGAGAATGGAGTCTTCTAGTGCAGGGGTCCCCAACCGCCGGTCCACGGACCGGTACCGGTCCGCGGAACAAGTCTTACCGGGCCGCTGGTTGCTGGGTGCCGCCATCTTTTTTTGATAAAAAAGTGCTTCCGGTGAGCTTTTCCGGGTAGAAAGCTCACCGGAAGCACTTTTTCATCAAAAAAAGATGGCAGCGCCCAGTTGATGCTGGTACCGGGCCGCGGCATAAAAAAGGTTGGGGATCACTGTTCTAGTGAGTGATTTTGGCTTATAATTCAGAATGGTTAGAGGGTACCACTTTTCTCTCCTCTATGAGCACAGAAATAAGTGGAGGAATCCCAGCCTTTTATATGTTAACTAATCTGCCTTAAGCAATCTTAAACATCTGTCTCTGAGGTGTCCCCATCCACAACCAGTAAAGGGCTTCTTATTTGTGTGGATATCAAGTCACACTCTTCTAATGCTGCGGTGTCTCCTCATTTGTTGGTCAACTTAATTCTATACCTGAATTAAATGTACAAACCCTGTAGCATCCTTTTTATCTGCACCTTTTATAAAAATATAATGTAATACTAAAAAGAAAAAAAAAATATGTTGCCCCTGTTTATTTCAATGAGTTATTTCGTTAGTGGAGCCAAATATATTTAAGCAATAAACTCTAATAATATTCACTAAACTTGTTTATTCTTTGGTTTTTCATTTCACAGCATTATCAGTCCATCCACGATGGACTTGACACTTTGTTAATATAGTAGTCTCCAAAATATATTGGGAGATTGGGGACGAGAACAGCTTAAGGAATAAGTACGTCCAATCAGGATTGTGTTTGGAAAGAGCAACTCCCAGATAAGTGTATTCCCCAAATGGGAATATCCATAGTATGTCTACTTATTGGAGAAAGTGGTACTAACATTTTAAAACTGGCCATGCTCTTCAAAGTTTAGTGACAACAAAAAGTCTGTATGTCCACTCAGTCCCAAAAAGGTTGCTGTGCTATCTCTACATTCCCAAGCCACACAGGAATCATGTGAATGTTGTCCCATCTAGCAGGAATGTCTGGAACTCCCAGCTCCGTTTATCTTCACAATAACTCAGTGAAATAAATAAGATTAGATTGAGAAACAGCAACCTTGGGCCAGCCACCCAGTGTGTTTCATACTTGAATTGAATATGGAGTGAGTGCAACATGCTCGGCACACAATCATTGTTATGGAGATTAAAAAAAACAGCATTCACTATCAATATATGATACTGTACTCAAAACTAAATAGACAAATGAAGCAAAATTACTCAATTTTATATCCTTTGAACCAATTAAGGAAGATTGGAGTTCCCTTAAATTGGAATTCTAATCTCTTTGGGACATTTTGACAATGTGTCCAACTTGAAAAATGTTTACTGGGTTAACATTTGGTTATGAAAGAGGGTTAGGAGAGTGACAAAACAAGATTCCAGTGTTTAAATAAGATAGGGCCTGGATTGTTTCCAACCTTGTTACCAGCAGTGAAAATAGAAGGCATCTCTGTTTTCATCTGTAAGGAAATAATGCGTTGCATATCTTTGTATGCACTCATACTTTCTCCTAGAGATTTACCACAAGAGGCATGGTGCAAATAAAGCCTTAGGTATGGGGTTCCTGACATTTGGAGCCCAGAGGAAGTCTTCCAGTGCAGATTTTATTGGATGGGCAGATGCCCCAGGAAGTAGATGTTCTCAGCAATACTCTGGTCCTGAGAGAGGTGAGGATTTAAGAGGACAAAAGCATGTTGAATTGTATTAAGAGGCTAACTGGTTAGAAGTGGAGTTTTTCAAAATACACTGCTCAAAAAAATAAAGGGAACACTTTTTTTTTTTTTGAGCAGTGTATTTGAGCAGTGTGCTGACAACAAAATCACACAAAAATTATCAATGGAAATCAAATTTGGATTTGGAGTTACACTCAAAATTAAAGTGGAAAAAAAACACTACAGGCTGATGCAACTTTGATGTAATGTCCTTAAAACAAGTCAAAATGAGGCTCAGTAGTGTGTGTGGCCTCCACGTGCCTGTATGACCTCCTTACAATGCCTGGGCATGCTCCTGATGAGGTGGCGGATGGTCTCCTGAGGGATCTCCTCCAACACCTGGACTAAAGTATCCCCCAACTCCTGGACAGTCTGTGGTGCAACGTGGCATTGGTGGATGGAGCGAGACATGATGTCCCAGATGTGCTCAATTGGATTGTCTGGGGAACGGGCGGGCCAGTCCATAGCATCAATGCCTTCGTCTTGCAGGAACTGCTGACACACTCCAGCCACATGAGGTCTAGCATTGTCTTGCATTAGGAGGAACCCAGGGCCAACCATACCAGCATAGGGTCTCACAAGGGGTCTGAGGATCTCATCTCGGTACCTAATGGCAGTCTGGATACCTCTGGCTAGCACATGGAGGGCTGTGTGGCCCCCTAAAGAAATGCCACCCCACACCATTACTGACCCACTGCCAAACTGGTCATGCTGGAGGATGTTGCAGGCAGCAGAACATTCTCTACGGTGTCTCCAGATCCTGTCACGTCTGTCACATGGGCTCAGTGTGAACTTGCTTTAATCTGTGAAGAGCACAGGGCACCAGTGGCGAATTTGCCAATCTTGGTGTTCTCTGGCAAATGCCAAACATCCTGCACGGTGTTGGGCTGTAAGCACAACCCCCACCTGTGGACGTCAGGCCCTCATACCACCCTCATGGAGTCTGTTTCTGACCGTTTGAGCAGCCACATGCACATTTGTGGCCCGCTGGAGGTCATTTTACAGGGCTCTGGCAGTGCTCCTCCTGTCCCTCCTTGCACAAAGGCGGAGGTAGCGGTCCTGATGCTGGGTTGTTGCCCTCCTATGGCCTCCTCCACGTCTCCTAATGTACTGGCCTGTCTCTTGGTAGCGCCTCCATGCTCTGGACACTACACTGACAGACACAGCAAACCTTGCCGCAGCTCGCATTGATGTGCTATCCTGGATGAGCTGCGCTACCTGAGCCACTTGTGTGGGTTGTAGACTCCGTTTCATGCTACCACTAGAGTGAAAGCACCACCAGCATTCAAAAGTGATCAAACCATCAGCCAGAAAGCATAGGAACTGAGAAGTGGTCTGTGGTCACCACCTGCAGAACCACTCCTTTATTGGGGATGTCTTGCTAACCACCTATGCTTTCCACCTGTTGTCTATTCCATTTGAACAACAGCATGTGAAATTGATTGTCGATCAGTGTTGCTACCTAAGTGGACAGTTTGATTTCACAGAAGTGTGATTGACTTGGAGTTACATTGTGTTGTTTAAGTGTTCCCTTTATTTTTTTTGAGCAGTGTAGTAGACTTACACGTTTGAAGCAAACCTATAAATGCTCAAGGTAGTGCCTTCTGGACCAGCTGCATCTTCTAAATGAATTAAAGTGCAGCCCCATATAGAGTGTACTAGACAATCCATGGATCATCGTTCCAGAGATATTTTCTTACCTAAATGAAGAATGACCACAGTCAGTGAAAAATTGGGAGCAGAAGCATCTCCTTACTCCCTGTAAACTTCCCCCAGTGAGTTTCATTATAGGAAGCTGTCAGTGTCAAAAACCCGTCCTTCCATCCTTCTTTCTTTCTTTCCTTCCTTCCTTCCTTCCTTCCTTCCTTCCTTCCTTCCTTCCTTCCTTCCTTCCTTCCT